TATTTCCCAGCTTCAAGAACTTCAAGGCTTAGGAAGGAAATCTATGGAGTATCTCAGCAAGACCAAGAGTCTCTCTATGACTATTGGACTAGGTTTTTAGCTTTGTTGAGCAAGTGTCCCAACCACCAATGTAAACCTATTACAATACTTCTATGAAGGATTATTAGTGTCTTATAAGGAAACTATTGATGTTGCTACACATGGATCAATCCTAGAGCTCACTCCTTATAATGCCTGGAGTCTATTAGAGAGGATGGCCAACAACAATCAACAGTACTACACGAGAATCTCAAAGAGGGCAAGTGTCTTCTACAAACCCTTTACAAGATAGTTTGCTGGAGAGACTATTGCATATCACTGAAAAGATGGATAAAAGAGTGGAAAATTTAGAAAAGCAAAGAAATGTGAAGAATTATAGTGCTGTTAACTACTCACAAGCATTAGTTGGACTATCATGTGAACATTGTGCCTCAACCATGCATATGAGTGATGATTGCCTAAGTTATTATGAAGAAGTTTTTGCTATGTACCAAGGCAAACAAGGACAATACTCACAGAGGAACCCATATTCCTCAACTTATAATGAGGGTTAGAGTGATCGCCCCAATTTGAGGTGGAAGACTAATGATGAAAGGCAATTAACTTCACAACAGAAATTTCAGAATCAAAGGCCACCCTTCGAGTCAAATTCAAGAGTCATAGTTCCTATTTAGAATACCCCTTCTTCAAACGATGGTATGCTGAGTTGGTTAAAGCTATGAAAGAAGGAATGAGTGATTTGGGCAAGGATTAAAAGCACTGCAGCTTCTTCTAATTCCAAACTTGTTGCCATGGAAAGTAAGTTTGATAGCAAGTTTGAACAATGAGAAAATAAAACAAACAATCTTTCTGGCTATGTCACTCAACTAGCTAACTCATTGAGTGAGGTGCAAGCTAAAATTGAAGGGAATTTACCCTCCAACACTGTGGTGAATCTAAAGTCTTTGAATGCAATATCCTTAAGGAGTGGGAAGCAAGTAGGGGCTAGTGAGAAGAAAGTAAGATTTACATAAGAACGTTGTCACAATGAATCAAATTTTAGTTCAGAAGAAGATTCTACACCTACTGTGCAATCTGAAAGTGGAAAGAGAGGACACTCTTACAGCAAAAGAAAACTTCTCATACACATTTTGGAGATAAGGAAGAAGCTAAATCTTCCCAGGTACAAGAGGAGAACATAGGAGTCATAAGCAACAAGAATCCAACACATACTTCTCAAATTACTTAGCAGAAAGAGAAGGACGTAAAAATTTCTGATTTACCATTTCCTAATTCATTTCTAGTATCTAGAAAATTGTCTAATGATCAACTTGAGAAGGATGCTATGAATTTGTTTCGTAAACTTGCTGTGAATGTTCCTTTACTTGATTCCTTGAAGGGAGCACCTAAATACATGAGGTTTCTAAAAGAATTGTGCACTAACAAGAAGAAATGTAAACCTAATGAGAAAGTGCAATTGGGCTCTAATGTTTCTACCATTTTTAAACCTCAACTACCCATTAAGTGCACTGATCCTAGATCTTTCACAATACCTTGCACTGTTGGTCAATTGAATATTGCTAATGCTCTTTTGGACTTAGGAGCTGCAATTAATGTGATGCCTCTTTCCTTATACACATCTTTAGGCATTCAAACTATTAAGAGCACTAGCATGTTAATACAACTTGCTGATAGGACCATTAGGAAGGCAAAAGGATTGTTGGAAGATATCTTGGTGAAAGTCAAAGACTTGGTTATCCCTGCAGATTTTTATGTTTTGGATATGGATACCCCACCCCATGTTCAAGAAACACTGATTTTGGGTAGGCCTTTCTTAGGACTGCTAACACAGTAGTAAGCTTGAAAGATGGATACATAACCATGGAAGTAGGGGATAAGAAAATTCAATTTGATGTTTATGAAGCAATGAAACATCCCTTTGAAGATTATTCACTTTTGGGTGTCAATGCTATTGATTGTTTGATTGATGAGGCTGTGGAAGAATATGAATGCTCTTTGCATAAATTGAATGAGAAAGAAACTTTGGATATTGGTTTTTCTTTTCTTGATGTCAATTCTCTTTTCTTCCTTGATTCATTTTTGGAGGATAATGATGACGTGTGTAGTATTGACTCTTTGACAGTTGATAGCTCACTTTCCACTTTGTCATCTTTTTCTTTTGATCTATCTTCTACTAATGATGAGGTATTTTCTCATACATCAAGCCAAGAGCTTGGAAAGGATTTGTGTCTGATTTTGCAGAAGTGAAAAAGCTGACTCAAGGTATATTGAACAAGGAAAGGGAAGAGAACATAGCTTTTGCTCTAGAATCTATACTTACTTCTTCTATTCCGCTTCATTTTAATTGTGCCAACTCTCTGCATACTATACGATATCTTGCTAATTTCTTTTCTAGCCTTTCTACAGAGGTGGACCAAAGAAAGAAAAGTCAAGGTGAGGAACAACAAGTAGCTGATTCTTTTATAGCAATAAGGGGAAAGGATATGCTCAACTCTACAATTCGAGATAGGGAGTTTTCTGATCTTATTTCTCTTGGAATTAACGCCATTCCTGAGAGTCATACATCACTTGATTCATCTTGTAATTATGCATATTCCCCACACATACCTTCAGCATGTCTAGCTGTTTTGGAGCTTAAGGAATTAGTACCTTCTGTCATTAAACCACCAAAGTTGGAACTTAAACCATTGCCTTCTCATTTGAAATTTGCATATCTAGCTGAAAATGATAAATTGCCTGTTATCATAGCTAGCTTCTTATCTGATATTGAGGAGAAGAAATTGCTCACTGTTTTGAAAAGAAATAAGAAAGCAATAGGTTGATCTATGCTGATATTCCTGGTATTGCCCCCTCCATTTGTACACATAAAATTTTACTTCATGAGGGAGTAAAACCAGTGAGACAACCACAGCGTAGGCTTAATCCACTCATCTTAGATGCTGTGAAAAAGGAAGTGAATAAACTTTTGAGTGCTGGAATTATATATCCAATTTCAGATAGTGAGTGGGTTAGCCCTGTGCAAATGGTTCCTAAGAAAAGTGGTATTACTGTTGTTAAAAATGAAAAGGGTGAATTAATTCCAACAAGGGTCCAAAACTCATGGAGGCTATGCATTGATTACAGGAAATTGAATGATGCTACACATAAAGATCACTTTCCTCTGCCTTTTATTGATCAAATGCTTGAAAGATTAGCTAGAAGAACTAATTACTGCTTTTTAGATGGTTTTTCAAGGTATTTCCATATTCTTATTGCTCCAGAAGACCAAGACAAGACCACATTGACCTGTTCATTTGGGACATTTGCCTACAGGAGGATGCCTTTGGGCTATGCAATGCCCTAGGTACTTTTCAAAGAGCTATGATGTCCATTTTTAGTGAATTTCTAGGCTCATCTATGGAAGTGTTTATGGACGATTTTACTGTATATAGTGACACATTTGATGATTATTTGGAAAGTCTAGATAGGGTTTTGTCTAGGTGCATTGATAAGAATTTGATTCTGAATTTTGAAAAATGCCATTTTATGGTTGACAATGGAATTGTCTTGGGTCATCTAGTCTCTAGGAAAGAAATTGAAGTAGACAAAGCCAAAATTGAAGTTATTGCTTCTTTGCCTTATCCAACTAACTTGAAAGAACTTAGGTCATTCCTTGGACATGCTGGTTTCTATAGAAGATTTGTGAAAGATTTCAGCAAAATAGCAAACCCTCTTTCTAGGCTCATGCAAAAGGATGTGGCATTTGTTTTTGATGATGCTTGCAAAAAGGCTTTTGATTCATTAAAGAGCATGCTTGGTTCTCCACCTATACTTTCTGCACCTCATTGGAAATTAGATTTTGAACTTGCTTGTAATGCATCTCATGCTTATTGGTGCTATGTTAGGTCAAAAAGTAAATAAGCTATCTCAAGTCATTGCATATGCATCCAAAACCTTGACAATGCACAAATTAATTACACAACCTGAAAAGGAACTTTATGCTATTGTATTTGTTTTAGACAAATTTAGATCTTACTTTCTTGCATCAAAAGTGGTTGTCTTTATTGACCATGCTGCTATCAAGTTTTTGTTTAGCAAGCCACACACTAAACCTAGACTTTTAAGATGGGTTTTGCTTCTCCAAGAGTTTGACATAGAGATCAAAGGCCGAGTGGAGCTAAAAACCATGTTGCAAACCATTTGAGTCAATTGCCAACAGGAACTAAGGGAGTTTCTGACCCTAATCTGATTTGTGATGAATTTCTAACTGCTATTCTTTGTTCTATAGTTTCTCATGACCCATGGTTTGCTAACATGGTCAATTTTCTAGCTACTGGTTTAATCCCTTCTACATTGTCTCATTTTCAGACTCAGAAGCTCAAAAGTGAAGCCAAGTATTACATTTGGAAACTGCCTCACTTATGGAGGATGTGTAATGACCAATTGATTAGGCGTTGTGTTCCAAATGAAGAAATTCAAGGTATCTTGGTGGCATGCCATTCTCGTGCTTGTAGAGGCCATTTTAGTGCTAAGAAAACTTCAAGGAAGATTTTGGAATCTGGATTTTATTGGCCTACTCTCTTTAAGGATTTTATGAGTTTTGTAAGAGTTGTGACAAGTGCCAAAGGTTTGGAGGTAATAATACTAAGAGGAATAAGATGCCTCAATATCCTATTCTCTTTTGTGAAATCTTTGATGTATGGGGTATAGATTTCATGGATCCATTCCCACCTTCCTCTGGAAATCATTATATTCTCTTGGCTATGGATTATGTTTCAAGATGGATTGAAGCTATTCCCCAAAGAAAGATGATGCAGTCACAGTTTCAAAATTCATAAAGTCACATATCTTCACAAGATTTGGAATCCCTAAATCTATGATAAGTGATAGTGGGAGTCACTTTTGCAATAAGCTCTTAAATGGATTGTTCTCTAAGTTTGGAGTTACTCACAAGATGTCCACAGCTTATCATCCCCAGACTAATGGTCAGACAGAGGTTTCTAATAGAGAAATTAAACAGATTTATTTTGGAGAAGATAGTTAAACCATCAAGAAGGGACTGGAGCATTAAATTGGAAGAAGCTCTATGGGCCTACAAGACTGCATACAAGACAACCATAGGAATGTCACCCTATAGGGTAGTTTATGGAAAAGCTTGCCATCTCCTGGTTGAACTAGAGCACAAGGCCTATTGGGCAATTAAAGCATGTAATCTGGATTTTGAAGCTGCTGTAATAGAGAGGAAATTGCAACTGCAAGAGCTAGAAGAAATTAGAATGGAGGCATATGAGAGCTCTAGAACCTACAAGGAGAAGAGTAAAATCATTCATGACAAAGGAATCTGAGGAAACAATTTCATGTGGATGATAAGGCCCTGTATTCAAGGCTAAGTTCAAGTTTAAACATGAAAAATTAAAAACCAAGTGGGCTGGCGCCTTATCTAGTCACCAAGGACACCCTTTTGGAATGGTTGAATTAGTAGATGAAAAAAGTGGCCAAAGTCTGAAAGTTAATGGTCACTTACTGATGAACCACATTTTGATCAACTAAATAATGTGATTTCCCATTGAATTTAAATGTTCATGTGGATTAACTTTAGATTTTCATATTTGATAAGAAATGATGTTGTGAGAATTTGATGTATCATTGCAGGATTGAAAGGGATTTCTCTAATTCTGGAAGTATTGGTGAAGAATGGATAAAATCTGGAAAGATGTAGCCAAAAATCTTGAATTAGGAGTTAAAACGCAGTGTTTTGAATCTGGTTAAGAGCCACAATCATGTGTGGTCTAGTGTAGCATTCTATGAGGAAAAACTTTAAGAAAAACGCATAGCTCCATGGCCAGTGAGTTTCAAAGAGAGTGACACATGTCCTGGGCTTTAGTAAAACGCATAGCTGAAGGCAGGGAAGTTTTACATGTCAAAATACAACATTACAAGCCTTCAAATGGTGGATAATGATGTAAGAAGGCGGAGGGAAAATTTAAAAACAGAATGGACGTCCAGAAGCTTCAGAAAAA